CAATGTATTTACAATGCCTTAGAGCATCTCCAACCATTGTATATTAATTTACACTAAATTTGGTGTGAAAATAGAATATTCCAAATATCTTTATACACCAAAGTTGTTCGCACTCCAACCTTAATGCACGAAAAGATCTAAACATTAAATATTTGTTGTTTAAATTTTATTTTAGTGGTTGATAAAACTCTTACAATTTGGTATGGTTTATTCTAAATCGTTTAATATTTGATTCTAGAAATATGAAGTTTTTCTATTTTTTACATATTCAATTCCAATAAGGACTAAAATTAAATTTTTATATTCAATATGGGTGTTATTTTGTAGATCTCAAGAAAATATTTAATATGATATAATTTTTACAACATAATTTATTTTATAAATTTAATTATATAGCAAATATATAATTAGACCAAAGCAAAATATAGTGCACAAAAGATACTGTAGTTGACAATTTACACCATATTTGGTGTAACACTATTCAATGCACTAAAATAATGCGCTGATTTTGTATTGGTCCCAAGTTGAGACTGGAGAAAATTATTAATTGTTAGAAATTATTAATTTATAAATTATTAATTTACCGACGTTCTACTATACATGTATTGTATGGAATACAATTTCAGTAAGGAAGATAAGACTAAGAAGCAATCATTGAAAGATTCAAATAGAAAAAATAAAAATAAAAACACAATGTCAATTTATATTCATCCTCCAGTTCTTCACCACTGATCTAATACAACATAATTTGCACAAAAGATTTTCACCTCTTTTTATCACTAACTTCAATGATGTCAAGGATGATCTATTTGTTAGTGCTTGTCTTCTTCTCCATAGCCGCCACCGCCAGTGCATGCGATGAAGAATGTCAAAACTTGAAATCAAAGCATAAACCTAAACCCAAACACCCACCACCACCGCCTCCTCCTCCAAAGCCAAAATGTCCACCACAACCGAAACCCTTAAAGAATGTCGGCGATCTTTTCGAAAACCTTAATGAATTCCAATTCAAAAATTGCCTTAGCGCTGCCCTCTCCATTGGACGATGTTTTTGGGAATATAGGCGCTGGTAACAAGACCAGTCCGATTACCATTGCACCGATCACCAATGGGTGTCATATCCATACTGATGAGACTGATGCTATGTACCTCACCCAATGTTAACATAGACACCCAAAATCGTATCCTTTGATCTTAATTTGAGTTGATTTGTCTGAAACTATATACATTTTTTCCAAACTTTCTTCTTTTTCTTCTTCTTCTCATGGTGTTTGCATATGGTGCAAATTATCCCATTACTTCTTAAAATAGGAGAAAAAGGGAGTGGGGAAATGTTGTGAAGAATTTCTTCTACTAATTTGTTCAGCTGGCTGTCACATTGTTCAAGCTATTCAGGCTTTTTGTCAGGAATTTGTATTGATATATGTGGAAAATGTTGTCATAATAATTAACTAGTATTTTACCCGCACGTTGTGCGATGATATAGTACTTTCAGAAAACTAAATAAATTGTCCACATTATATTTTGTATTTATAGTTTTTAATTAAATCGTAAAATATAATGTGGATTACCATTTTCGGACTTGGAGAGTGTTTTACTTTTATAGTACTATATGAATGTAGATCCTTTGTGAAAAGATTTGTATAGTTAGAAAGACACTACAAAATAGTTTTACTGTTTTTAGTGATAAATCTCTATGATGTTTCACCTTTTTTACTCTAGATCTACATCATTTGTTTCACCTCTTTTTTTTCTGATGTTTGTTTGAATTGGCCTTCCAACTTTTTTAATGATCATTTTTTTTAACTTTTTCTTTTTCTCTCGCTCGCTTTAAGATATATGAGTATGTTCTTTCAAGTTTTCAATTTCTAACACCAATCCTTGTCTTAGTTTTAGATATTCGGTTTTCTCCAATTGCAAATGAAAACGATCATATCAAGATTTCTATACATCTCAGAAATTAAGGGATACAAATAAAAAGAGACCTATGGCGATTGACCTAATTGAGGTCATATAAGAGATCATAAAAAATATATATATATATATTTAGGTTCCTTTTAAGAAAGTGCAAGGGGAGTCATCCAAAATTTGAAAACTTACACAATAATGAAAATTAAAGTTTAATTGATATAACAGTCAAAAAGCTATTATCTCCATACTGCTTTTAATTAGTTGATCATGGTAACTTTACTATTTTTAGTATACTATATTTCTAATAAAAGGTGAGATAAAATTCACGATACGAATCCAATTCATCATCATCAACATGGTTACATCATTAATAAAATTCTTTCTCTGAAATTATCATCATCGGCACTAACAGAGTACAAATCCACTTTTTAACTAGAAAAGAAAATGAAAAAAATAGCAAGAATAGTAGTTTGTTCACCAGCTATCAGGGTTGTGTTTACATAAAACTCACAACATCATTACAACACCTTAATGAGATATTCTAAATCACGCCACACTGATATTAATACAAAAAATTCTGAAATTCAAGTGATTAAAAATTAGGCTAGTAAAGCTATCAAATTCATGACTATAACACCTGGTGATTTATGAACATGCAGTTGAGATCGCTTGCTTTTTGTTATCCCGTTGGCCGATTTTAAATCATCACCAGATTCCAAATTTGTTATTTCTATTGCAGCATCTACAAAAAGATTCATCACAATAAGTGAAAAATAGAACACTAACACTATAATAAATCTTTGACACCAAAAATGCAAAACAATACTCTCTCGATGTGATCATGTGATCATTTAATCCATTAGATCAAAGGTCTATATTTTCCAATCGAAAGCCCATTCTTCCAAAACCTAACCCATCCAGATCCGACTCCCTCAAGGCAGAGAGATGATAAGGTGACAGTAACGGTAGCCATTGAGCCCGAGGAGAAAATTAAGAGACATAAACATAGCAATAGCGGTGAGATGATGATGATAAAAATAATGGGAAAAAAAAGAGATGAACCTGTTTTTATTGCGATGATGGTCACCTCGCCGAGGACGTTCTTGTTGGTGTGAAAGTCTAGAGTTATCTAAGAATTGTACTGCTAATCAATCACCTGACAAGAGGATTTCTTCTTAGTGGTAATGGAAGTCAGAGGAGGAGTTTGGAGAGGAAACATGAATAAGGAGAGTGGAGAGAATAATGAAGCCATTTTAGATGTGGCTGATGTTTAGAGATTTTTATTATTTTTGAATAATTAAAAAAAAAACAAATCTTCACGGATTATCTGATGGGATAAAGATCTCACGGAACAAATATTATAAATAATTTATTGTAAACTTAATTAATCATGATTTAATATGTCAAATCTTTTTCCTTTTTTGATTTGATATTTAAATTTCAAAACAAAATTGATTAACAGGATAGAATCTGGATTTCATATCATTCCATTGAATGAATCAGAATTTTTAGCTATATTGATCAGTAATCTATTATTTTTGGAAATAAATTTATTAATATTTCAAATTTTTTGAGTTGGTATGAAAAAAAAAAATTAAAAACAAAACAAAACAAAAAAATAAAAACAAAAACAAAAACCTAAGCCTCCTTTTTTTCCCTCTTGCCGCACACTTCTTTGCCGCCGCCAATGATCTCCTTCTTCAACTTTCTACGCAAAAAAACAAACAACAACCGCATATCATCATCATCCATCATCTATTACCATCATCCATCATCATCTTCCCCATCATCCATCATCTATTAACCTTAACTTATTATACAACATAAATTTTTATTTATGATTTTACAACTTAATAAGCTAAATAACACAAACTAAACCCTATCATATGTTTTCTTCTTCCCCAGCCGCCTACCCAACTTTCCCAAGAAAATAAATTATGCTAAAAAAAAAAAATGCTTCCTCGTCGTCCAAGGAATCTATCAGAGCATAGAAGTGTAACAGAGAGCCGGATATTGGCAAAGCTATCTTCATCAGGAGGTAGACTCATTATTCATCAATCATGAGTATCAGAGAGTGCAGACGTGGCAACTTTTGAGTTCTGTCAATCAAAAAAGCACCATGTAAAAGTTATAAATATGAAGAGGGAACATGATCGGAGAGTATACCAGAGATGGGGCATTCAACACACCGCAGAATAATTTCCAGTGAGTATTTTGATTCATCGGAGATTAAATCGCCAGAGTTATTTCGCCGGTTATTTGGATGAGTTAAATTTTGAATAATCGGTGAAAAGGTAAAAGAGATGATATTATGTTAAAATATCATAAATATTTTACTATTAAGAAATCTCAGTTATGAGGGGTAGTAAAACATTAATAAAAAGTAATAAGCCAATAAAATATTGACACATGGACTACTTTAGTTTTTTAACGAATGAAAACTGGACACGTGTTTTTTAAAATTATTAATGATCTAATAGCGCGACATGTGTCTTGTGAGCAAACTTCCCTTAATATGTAGTATGATGTCAAATAAACTAATAGATTTTTACATCTGCAAGTGCAAAAAGATATACTTCCACTGTCTCAAAATTATTGTTCAGTTTGAGATTTCATTTTAGTACAATTTGAACTAAAAATGAAAACCTAAACTGGACAATAATTATGGGACAGAGGGAGTATATACTAAGATATACTCCCACTCTCAAAATTATTGTTCAGTTTGAGATTTCACTTTTAGTACAATTTGAACTAAAAATAAAAACCTAAACTGGACAATAATTATGGGACGGAGGGAGTATATACTACCACACCAGTATACATACATGATCATTTCATTGATGTGGAAATGGAATCCATTACGAGATCTGAATTTCTAACAATTAGGGGAAGAAGACATATCAGGATAACGTATATTCCGAGGAATTTGGAATACGTCGATGAGAGCTCAATCGGATTAAGTGGTTTGGTTCAACCTAAATCCTGCTTTCCACCCGCTGAATTTCACTCAAAATTTTCTATCTTCATATGGCTGTATTTTAATAATCTGCTTGCCAACGGTTTCGTCAGCCGGATTTGGGACGGTTTAATTCGCAATTAATTGGTTTTGCATGATATTGCTATTACAAATTCGTGGAGCAGAATCCACACTATTTTTTGCTGGCACATCAAGGAAAGCTCCAAACAAAGGCCTAATAACGCCATCACTTAATAATACTACTTCCTGCGACTTCTCTAACATCTTTTATTCGTGTACAATGGACATCTTTGTAATCCAAGTCATTCAAGCAACTAAATTAACACACTTCTGCTCCTCACTTTTCTAATTTGTTAGTCTCTTTTCGCTCCTCTTGAATCGACGCCAATGTATCATTTCCTGTTGGAACACAAAAGGGATCATATGAGATGGAGTTCTTGCATTTCTTTGAATGTACTCGCAATGTTAAGATACCAACATCAATTGATTAAGCTCAGTATACTTGAGATTCTCCGCGTACCTTTTGTCACAGCCGAATCATTTGTCGCATCCTACAACGTAAGCCCCCAAAAAAATTGAATTATATCCAAAAGAACAAATTATAATAAGCTAAATACTAACACTGTCGAAAGAAAACTACCCAAAAAAAAAAACCCCCATAATTTACACTAACATTTACCATCAGAAACCAGCTTATACAGTACCCAAAAAAAAAAATACAAAAACTGAGAAAAATTTACCGAAGAAGGGAGTGATGGCTGAAGTCTGGACTCCTCAATCAGTCCGAGATTCATCAACACTTCTAGAGCAGACTTGTCCATATTTAACGTGTAGAAATGCAAAGTCTTAATCCCGTGACCCAAAATCTTCTTACACATCTCAGTCATCAAGTGAACTCCATAGTTTCTGAGAGCTTCTTCGTCATCCTTAATCGTCTCCAACGTAGCCATAACCTCCCCTGGAAACTTAACCTTAACCATTTTAGCAATCCGAAGGGAGTTATAACTGTTCATCAGCAGAATCCCGGGAACAATCGGACAAGTTATGCCAACCTGACGACAATCATTCACAAATTTGAGGAAAAAATCCGAATCCAGAAACAACTGAGTTATGATTAGATCAGCTCCCGCGTCAACTTTTCTTTTGAGGTACTCAAGTTCCTTTCGATAAACCTCCAATGGAACTATTCCATTTTCGGGTATAACATTCGGATGAGCCTCTGGGTAACCCGCAACCGCGATTCCGAAATGGTTTCCGTGTTTGGATCTGATGTGGTTGACGAGGGCGAGGCCCGAATCGAACCCGCCTTCAATCGGGACGAAATCGGATTGACCCCGGGGTGGGTCGCCCCGAAGAGCCAACACATTTTGGATCCCCATGCTCTTGATAGCATCGAGGGCGTGATCGATCTTCTCCGGAGGCATATTGGTACAGGTCAAGTGCATCATCGTTTCGATCCCGACCTTGTTTTGCATCCGATTTGCGATTTCCAGCGTCATGTCGGCCGTGGATCCTCCGGCGCCCCAGGTGATATCGCAGAACAACGGTCCAGTTGCTACTAGCCTTTGCATTCTGTCGAACAGATCATCCACGCCGGATTTGGTTTTCGGCGGGTAGAATTCGAAGGAGAAAACGCCGGAAACGGCCTTGTTTTCGTCGGCGAGTGCTTCCCGAATCTTGTCTATCACCTTCATTGTCTTTTTCCAAACAAGAATATGTTGTACAAGAAGTACGTGCTGATGATTTCTCTAAGTTTTCCAATGGCAATTAGCCAATTTTCTCAGAAAGAAGGAAAAAAAAAATGTGTCCCGGAGAAATGGAGTACTATACGCGAAGCTGTAATTTTTAATAGACTAAAATGTCCAAATGGTCTCTTACATTTGGGCCTACTTGAATTTACATCCCTAACATTAACATTTCAATATCGTAATCCCAAACACATTATGTTTTCACACTTTTTCAGTCCCATTTCACTGTTTCCGGTCGTTGACATGCCGAAATCAGGGGTATTTTTGTCTTTTAATTTAATTTGAATTTCAACTAAATTTAAATCATTAAAAATATTTAAAAATTCAAATTTCATTATTTAGTTGTTAAAATATTATTTATTAATTAAAAATATTATTATAGAATTTTAAAATTTACATTATTTTTAAAATTAATTTTTTCATTTATCATTTATCTTAGGTCAAAGTAAATAGTAATTATGTTGCACTTTTAACCTTGGACCTATTGTAACTTAAAAAATTTATCGAATTACAGTAAATAATTCAAAATTCAATTTCTTTAAAAAAAAAGAAATGCAAAACTATTATTTTTACTCTGACTGCTATAGTAAACCCTTAATGGTAATTATGTTGCACTATTAACCTTAGACCCACTATAACTTAAATAATTTACCAAGTTACAGTAAATAATTCAAAATTCAATTTTTTTAAAAAAAAGAAAAAGCAAAAAGAAGATTTTTTTTTAACTTTGACCGCTACAGTTGAATTTAGAATTATTTACTGTAACTCGGTAAATTTTTTAAGCTACATTGGGTCCAAGGTTAAAAGTGCAACATAAGGGTTTACTATAGTGGTCAATTACTTTGTTTTGCTTTTTTTCTTTTTTTTTGAAAAAAAATAAATTTTGAATTATTTACTGTAACTCGGTAAATTTTTTAAGTTATTGTGGGTCCAAGGTTAAAAAAGCAACGTAGTGATAAGAGTAAAAAAAATCTTTGTTTTTCCTTTTTTTTGGAAAAAAAATTGAATTTTGAATTATTTACTCTAACTCGATAAATTTTTAAAGTTACAGTGGGTCCAAGGTTAAAATACAACATAATTACCATTTAGGGTTTACTATAGCGGTCAGAGTAAAAAAAATCTTAGTTTTGCCTTTTCTTTTTTTTTTAAAAAAAATTAAATTTTAAATTATTTACTGTAACTCGGTACATTTTTTAAGTCACAGTGAGTCTAAGGTTAAAAGTATATATTATAATTACCATTTAGGGTTTACTGTAGCGGCCAAAGCAAAAAAAATCTTAGTTTTATTTTTTCTTTTTTTTTTTTAAAATAAAAAATGAATTTTGAATTATTTACTGTAACTCGTTAAATTTTTTAAGTTACAGTCGGTACAAGGTTAAAAGTGTAACATAATTACCATTTAGGGTTTACTGTAGCGGTCAGAGTAAAAAAAATCTTAGTTTTACTTTTTTTAAAAAAAAAAAAAATTGAATTTTGAAGTATTTATTGTAACTTGGTAAATTTTTTAAGTTACAGTGCGTCCAAAGTAAAAGTACAACATAATTATCATTTACTATGTACTTAAAGTAAGTAGTAAATGAAAAAAATAATTTTGAAAATAATGATAAATTTTAAAATTGTTCAATTATATTTTAATTAATAAATAATATTTTAACAATTAAATAACAAAATTTGAATTTTAAAATATTTTTAATGATTTAAATTTTATTAAAAATTTAAATTAAATTAAAAGACAAAAATACTCCTGATTCTGGCATGTCAACGGCCGGAAACAGTGAAATGGGACAAAAAAAGTATGAAAACATAATTTTTGGAACTACGATATTGAAATGTTAATGTTAAGAACGTAAATTCAAGTAGCCCCAAATGTAAGAGACCATTTAGACATTTTAGTTTTTTTAGTAAACCTAATTTAGATGTAATTAAATTAGCCAAAATAATACTAAAGACCTGGCTGATTTTTTCCTAGATTGTAGAGAATAAATAAAAAGGAAAATCAATATTGTAGGGATAATATCTACTATTAAAGTGAGCAAATACAACTAAAATACGTGAGCAAATATAACTAAAACTGTTTCTCTCTCTCTGTCTCTTTTTTTTTTACATTATCATAAAAGTAATTGTACTTGGGAAAAATCGATTAATCTGAAGATTAGACTATGTGAAACCTAGAGGAAAAAATGTCGTTCCTACCCAAAATTTCGCCCTCGTTGTAAATTATACCCAATAGATTTTTGGTCAGTCAACTTTACCTAATGTTTGAAAATTTTGCCAATTTTTTCCAATTGGCCCATTTTCCGTCTAAATTAACGGATCTCCGTTAGTTTTTTAATAAAATAATAAATTTAATTAAAAAAATACCTCAGTAATTTTTAAAAGTTTTAAAAATAACCCCTAAAATTTATAAAAATAACAAAATAGTCCCTTTTTACTTTTTTATTTTATTTTTCTCTATCTTGTTCCATTTCTCTTTACTACTTTTAATGACCATAAAAGTCTATTATGTGAGTTTTAAAAAAATATTTATTTATTTTAAAATTCTACTGTAAAAATTAATCTTTGTATAGTTGTAACCCATGATTGTATTTATATAAGCATGTTAATTTTTTAATAATATAATTTAGCAATACAGACACTATTTTTCTGATTTATTTTATTCTTCCTAACATAAAGATTAAAAACATTTAAATGAAACTAATATTCCACATAAAAATAAAATATTAGCTCAAATAAAAAAATATTCATATATTTTAGTGTTTTACAATTTAACTCAAGAGACTATAACTTGCATTAATATAATTCATAAAAATGTGACTAAAATATAAAATAATTAAATCCTTAAAAAAAATCCTCCAAACATAAATTTTCCTTCTTGAATCAAAACCTATTTTCTATCACAACAACTTATTACTATATTGTTACCTCCATTCATTTATTTTAAACTAAAATCATATAGAATAAGCGAGTAAGACTTCCTCTATAGTAAGATATATTAATATCTCGAATAATTATTACAAAATGTTAAATCCTCGCATTGATAAGTATAAACATTTTTTTTATAAATTATATTATGTCATTAGTCTCTCTAGTTAAATTGTAATACACTAAACTATACTAATATATAGTAGTTTTTATTTGAGCTAATATTTTATTTTAATGTGAAATATTAGTTCAATTAAATATTTTTAATCTTTATGTTAGGAAATAAAATAAATCAAAAAAATGGTGTCTTTATTACTAAACTATATTATTAAAAAGATTAACATGCTTATATAAATACAATCATGTGTTACAACTATACAAAGATTAATTTTTACGGTAGAGTTTGAAAATAAATAAATATTTTTTTAAAACTTATATAATACGCTTTTATGGTCATTAAAAGTAGTTGAGAGAAATGGAACAAAATAGAGAAAAATTAATAAAAAAGTGAAAAGGGACTATTTTGTTATTTTTATATATTTTAAGGGTTATTTTCAAAATTTTTAAAAACTACTGGGGTGTTTTTGTATTTAAATTTATCATTTTATTAAAAAACTAACGGAGATCCGTTAATTTGGACGGAAAATAGGTCGATTGGACGTAATTGGCGAAAATTTCAAACATTAGGGTAAAATTGGCTAACCGAAAATCTATTGAGTATGATTGATGACGAAGGCAAAGTTTTGAATAAAAACGATATTTTTTCCGAAACCTCGCCATGGTTAAAGTTTTCGTGATAAATTACAATTTTTTTGTAGGATAAGAAACTCAATCATACCGATGGGCTCATCTGGTCAGAGTTAAACTAGTCTTCAAGTCCAATTACAGTATATGAACGCGTCAAAACTGCACTAGCTTCAAGTATTCAACTACATTAACGTGCGAGAGTTCTGAAGCTCAGAAATTTAAAGAAGACTGCCAAACTAAAACCACCAGATTAGGCTCTTCCATCACTTGAGTAAAATCCAATTTTACTCAAACCGAAAGTAACATGCCCCACCCTAGCACATTCAGATTTGAATCCCTTTAAATTTGGGCAAAATGAAAACTATAATATATTACTCCGTCTCAAAAAAATAGTTCATTTTGAGTTTTGAGTTTTGTACTATTTTTAGTACAAATTTGAAAACTCAATGTGGATTTTTTTTGGAATGGAAAGAGTATAATTTTTTTTTCGTACAAAAATTTCCTAAAATCTCATAACAATTCTGTATATAAACTAAGAAAATACCTCACAAAAATTAATCTAAAATCCTATGGCATCTTTATATTAAAATATTTATTTTAAGAGGAAGCCTTACAAAAGTTAACACATAGACCCCATTACTCCTCTTTTTACTAATGAAAAAGAAAAGAAAAACTATCTAATCCGAAGATATGGAACAAAAAATCTATCAAGATGAACTTTTCCACGTATTGGTGGCAGGAGATCACCAGTGCCGGCTCTAGCATAAAGCTAGAGAAGCTAGGGCTTGAGGCCCCCAATTTTGAAGGGCCTCCAATTTTGGTGGGCCTTTACTATTTGTTTAGTATTTAAAATATAAAATTAAAAATAATTGAAAAGATAGATCTTAATTCTTTTATTTAGGCCCAATGTTTATATAGTTTTGTTTGCAACATTAAATGATAACAAATTCATAAATTTCTTGTCCCAAAAAATTAATCTCACTCAATTAATTAACTTTTATACTTAATATTCTTAATCACTAATTTTATCATTATCTCACTGCAGATTAATTGGATGATTTCCCACACTATTGTGATATGTGATTAATTCTTTTGTTATATTTTTTCCAATCACGTGTACATATTACAGATCTTTTTAAACCATTACGTGAAATAATCATTATGTGAGTTTTTTTAATTTCATCTATTTTTTAATATATAATGTACGTATAACTAAGTATCTTTTACTGTTTAATTTGTTTATCTTTTAATTATTACTATCTCTATCCCCAAAAAATAGCCATACAAATCTCAAAACTTAATGTTGGCTATTTATCTGAGGAGAAGGGGGTGTAAAAGTTTGTTACAAAGTGAAAATTTTAATTTGTTACTCCATTTGTCTCAATATTATTGTGTAGTTTGGGTTTTCATATTTAATTTAAATTATATTA